GGGGGGGGGGGGGGGCGGGGGGCACCACGGGTGCTGCTGCTGGCACCGCAGCGGCGGCGACATCGGAGGGCGGCGATGCAACAAGAGGTCGCGCGCAGCCTGCAAGAGGCAGCGAGACAGGACACCGGGAAGCTGCTGCTGCTGTGGTCGGGGCGGCCGCGGTGGCTGGTAGCGGGGGTGGCCGAGACAAAGAACAACGGACAACGGCGGCGGCGACAAGGAATGCGGGCGCAAAAGGCAGAGGGGCTGAAACATCGACATCGAAGATCCAGCTATTAGAAGTGCAGCAGGAGGACCAGCAGCAGAAGCATGAGGGGCCCGCTCACGGGTCGGAGACTGGCCTGTCCAACCGGAAAGCCGGGCTGTCACCTACTGGGGTTGAATCAGCAGACGGCAGCGGCGGCGGCGGCGGGACCGGGTTGTGCGGCGGACTGTCCTCCGACGTGAGAAAGAGAGCGTCGCAAGAGGCGAGCCTGCAGTTTGTCCAAGAAAGCATTCAAGCCGCGGTCGTCAGCGCACGGAAGCACTCGGCAGAGGGAACAGGCAGCCAGTAGTTCCTTTGGCATTGATGACGGCCGTTGGTCCCTCCCGCGTAGAACCAACAGATGTACCCGCAATATGTTAGCCCTTTCAACATCACACGCTGCTGTTATTTGGCGTGCAACAACAGGGGGAACGGTCGACCGCTACTGCCCATTTTTTCGGAGCGGCAGACGAAAGGTGCATGTCAACAAAAGGTTGATGTTGACAAAAGAACAGCCAGAACCAGCGCTTAGAGTTATGTACCATCCTCCTGGCTCGCTGCGTCGAGGGAAGGCTCTGCTGAATTATTTCTTGGTTGGTCCGTTTCAGTTTAATGTTTGCTGCGTCTGTCTTGCCTGTCTTTTGTCAGTGCGAAACTAGACCGAAAACGGCATATGAAGCGGTGGGCGGGTAGAGAACGGTACATTAACTGCTGTACTTCCAACGCCCTCCTCCTCCGCCGGTGGAAAAAAGTGATACTTCTTTATTCACCGCAGGTTACAAGCTTTCTAAAAGGCTAGATATGGATATCAAGGTGTCAAATGTTTCAAAAGCAAGCCCTTTCTAAAAGGCTAGATATGGATATCAAGGTGTCATCCTATTGAGCGCTGAAGTTTCTGTGCATCTCATGCGGAACGGCCGCAAAAAAATGCGGGGGGTATCGAGGTGACTTGATCAGGAGAGCGCATCCTACAGAGCACACATGCCTCGTTAAAAGTTGGCTGCGCAAGGTGCCGAAAATTTCTCTGTATGTCCAAAAAAGCAGCGAGGTCAGCAGCGCGCCTCCGTTGGGAGCCTCGTTGTGGCTAGAGGGAATCGTGAGAGAAAAATTGCGCGAGTGGGGTTGGAGCTACCGAGGCGGGCGGTAAGGAAGGATGGCCACAGTAAGAAGCGGTCCGTCCTTGAAGCCTTGTACACGGCGAGACTGCCGGGCCCAAGACGCCATGATTGGCACGTCGTCGTCTGCACTGCAGCAAAAAAAAAAGCCCGAGACGACAAAAAAATGTGTGACTTCCTGAGTGTGTAAGCAAAAACGGTGAAAGCTTGTACGCAACCGGCTAAAGACCTTACCTAGGTACACGCTTCTTACACCAGTCGTAGCGATAGTCTTGATGAAACGACACTCCTCGGTCGTCTTCGTCACGGAAGCCAGCCGCAGGGCGCCTGTTTCCTTGACTACTCTCTTCTCCAATGCCCTACCAAACGCGCGGGTGGGACCCCCGCCCCCCCCCCCCCCCCCCGCCCGCCCGCCCGCCCGGAGCGCGGTCACCGACGACCAACATCAAACACACCGCTTTTGTCACATACCTCGCACAGTAATCGCCGAACCAATACAAGGAAAATCGAACATGAGCCCCGCTCCCTGCCTCTCATCGCGACGGATCCCACGGAGGCTGTGTATGTGCTCCGGTGGCAAGAGGCCACCACGGGTCACACGCACAAACCCAATTCTTGGGTTTTCGTGAGGAATCATCCTACCAACACGTTGCAGCGTTGCAGAGACGCAATCGTGACTGCCACGTAGATGCTTAACGCGCGCATCAGTGGTGTTGTTCCTAACCCGCCTTGTGCAGCAACAGTAGTACACAGATAGTATACATTCTAATTCATGCTCCCCTGTAGCTGCTGCGATGCCGGCCTTTTTTCCAGAGACGCGTGCAAAATATCAACAAAAACACGACAAAAAGAAGTGCAACATGAACGCGCGAAAGCCACGTTTCCCCTTTAAACCCCTCCCCGTTCTACCGTCGAATTCCCCCTTTAAACTCCTCCCCATTCTTACTATTTCCGCAAAATAACAGAAAAAACACCGCCCCCCACCAACTATTTTATCTCTTCGAACCAAAGGAACGCAAAACCATCACCGTCGAGGCATTGCTGTTCCGTTTACATTTTTCAATGCCCCGCCGCCTTTTCTGACCTCCGCCGCCGCCGCCGCCGCCGCCACCTCCTCCGCCACCGCCGCCGCCGCCGCTACCGCAACCGCTGCCCCCTCCACCGCCGAGGCACCGCCGCCGCCCGGTGAAGGTGACACCACCGCCGCCGGTACCGCCGGTACCGCCGATGCTACCGGTGTTACCGGTGCGGGTGCCGGTGCCGCAGGCGGAGGCGGGGGCGGTGGCGGCGCGGGGGCGGACTTCCGGCGCTTCCTGTCGATCTGTCCTTCGAGCCGGTGCCCCGCACAGTGCGTCGGTCTCTTCCCGGGGTAGCCGTACCCAGGGTGCTTGATGCAACCCTGTTTTTTTTTATGCGCGCACGTTCGTAGGAAGACAAACCAGCGCCGTGAGAGGTTGTTTCGATATTTCCGAACAGTTGAGGTAGTTGGGACGCGGGGGGGGGGTAATATCTCCTGTGTACGCATGAAATGGGGCAAATGGTACAGCATACGTGTAAATTGGTGCAGGGGACGGACTGTACCACCACGAACATGAGCTGCGATCTTGTCTGTTCAGTGTTTCTTGAGCAAATCTGCGCGGTTCTTGCATAAAACGACCTCCTACTGCTTTGGAAGAAAAAACTCATCACACACAACCAAAGTACGGCAGCAGAGGCCCCTGTGCAGTGCCAGCATGTGCCCAGAAAATTCACCGGCACTATATCGGACCGGCGCTATTCAAGGTGTTGAGAGTTGAGAATGACTTGGAGGCTCAGCGCGTACTCGCCGACAACATCGGCACTATACCGGGCACCGGCGCTAGTCAACCGGCATTTTAAACAGGGACCTCTGCTGCATACCGTAAGGTTGCGAGTCAGCGCACAGGGGTGCGATCGATTTTCAAAGCGCAATTTCTCCGCAACCAGGAGGGTGCGAGCGCCAACTGATACTTCCCAGGAAAGCTCTCCATGATAAATCTCCAAAACCGCCCTTTTCGACAGTGGTAACCTCCTGGTTGTGGAGAAACCAGGCTTTGAAAGTCGTTCGCAACCCGTGCTCTAGCTCACTCGCAACCTTACGGTACCGTAGACGACACATAACACACCCACACCAGAAACCACCCCCCCCACAGAATACGACACCCGGGTGATCATTTTGGGCGTTTCTGACAAACAGTCGAGACATATCACCCGAGCTACATAAGTAACACACCCGTTGAGGTTACGCCGCATACATTCACGGGGCCCCTCCTTCTATCACCGGGGTGATACAGGATATGCCCCGTGGGCATCGCATATACACAGATTGTCCGCGCCAAGTAGGATACCACACCCACCCACAGGATACCACACCCGGTGGTAATATTTTTCAAGCCCAAAATGATATCACCGAGTATGGTATCTTGGGTCGTCTATGGTATGCACTCCCACGTAGACTAGAAGGTGGACCGTCCAGAACCAGTTATGGGTGAAGAAACCAATCAATCACCTGCGGGTGCTGACAGCGCGCCTTGTGCGCCACGTCGACCATGTTGAGCTGCCGGTGCGCCGAGCAGAAGATCGCCTTCCTACCCGGGTGGTTGAAGCTCGGCCGCCGACTGCACCCCCCGTCGTATTGGCAGGTTCGGGTGCCGACGGGCCGCTTCTTCCCCAAAGGCCGCGAGATGCCCCACTGCAGTTCCTGCTCCACCGCCGCCACCGCCGCCGCCGCGTTCGCCGCCGCCGCCGCCCCCGCCACGTTCCAACGAGCTTCGTTCTTCATTGCCGCCGCCGCCGCCGCCGCCGCCGCTGCCGCCACCGCAGCAGCAGCCATAGCAGGTGGTGTTGTTGCCCCGGCGCCTCGTTTCCCGAGAGTAACGCCTTCGGCTGCGGAGTTCATCACGCTGCTGTTGCTGGTGTTGAGTTCGCTATTTTGGTGACGTGAAGGTTGCTGCTGCTGCTGCTGCTGCTGCTGAAGGAGGCGCTGGTGCTGGAGAAGCTGCTGGTGCTGCTGCTCCTGTAGATGTTGCTGAATACGCTGCTGCTCGTCCTGCTGCTGCTGCTGCTGCTGCTGCTGCTGCTGCTGTTGCTGTAGAAACAGCGACGACGGGTCGTCTTCTACATGAAGCTCCTCCTCAGGCAACATCGAGGCTCCAGTGGTAGTTTTGCTAATATCTTGGTGGCACAGGCTCTGCAGATCAGGCATCCCATGATCCTGCTGGATGTCGACGAATACCTCGTCCATGGACATGTTCCTCTCGGACAGCACCAAGTAGCGTCTGTCTGCGCTTGGCTTGGCTACAATCCTGAGCGGATCTGGCGTGTTGGTGCTGTACCGTATGCTATGTACAACCAGTAAGCGGCTTATTCCTGCGATTTCAACAGCCGGTCCGCAATCAATCCTGTACCAGCAGACGAGAGTCCTCCCTCCCTCCTTCCCGTCTCCTGCTGAACCAACCGACACCAGTGCCCTCTGTAGCTCAGGCTCTCGTGCTACCGATCGCGGCTGCGGCTCGTGCCTCTCTCCTGCGGTCACCGCCGCTGTGTTTGTTGTTGTGGGTGCCGATAAAAAACGCCCTTTTGCGGGGTATGTATTGTCCAAGGATTTCGAAGCGTAGAGGGGAGCGTGCTCCGCGGCAAAGGTAGAAGGGCAGCAAGGGGCCACGCAAACAGGAGATCTCGAGAGAGTGCTTCCCCTCTGATGCCAACCCCGTTGAGCACCTGGCTGTTAGCTAGCTGCTGCTGTGCTCAGCGGGTGCCGGGCACGTCGAAGTGGGCACGCAGCCCGGACAAGAGAGGCTCCGCGGATGCAACAAAATCATAGATACACCCCGCAATTTTTTTTGGACACGCTGCAGATTCTTTTTTTTGTCTTCAATTCAAATCAGCGCTCACAGCACTATTGAGCTGGCACTATTATATAGTACCGTTTACTCCAACCCGTGGTCACACAGAAGAGCCCCTCTCTACCCTCCCCTCCTGCGGTACGTTGCCTTCGATTTTTAATGCGAGAAGAATTCAGCACTCTCTTCCCTCTGTGTACACACGAACTAGCGCTATCCACCAGGCCCACAGCAGTGGAAGGATGCCACCATCAAAGTGCTTTTCAAGAAGGGGGACACGATGGAGTGCGGCAACTACCGGGGCATCTCTCTCGTCGCACACGCCGGCAAGGTGCTGCTTAAGGTCGTCGCTACACGACTGAGCCACTACTGCGAGCGAGAGGGCTTCCTCCCGGAGGAGCAGAGCGGTTTCCGCCCACACCGATCGACGCTCGACATGTTGTTCGCCATCCAGCGGCTCCATGAGCTCGCCAGGAAGAAGAGTACTGCGGTGTTCGCGTGCTTCGTCGACCTCACCAAGGCATACGATTCGGTGGACCGAGACCTACTGCTGTGGGACGTGCTCCGACGCTTCGGCGTGCCCCCGAAGATACTGGCGGTCATTCGCCACTTCCACGAGGGCATGAGCGCGCGCGTCCGAACGGACGACGGGCTGTAGTCGGAATGGTTCGACGTGGGCCAAGGCCTCCGACAGGGATGCGACCTGGCCCCGCTGCTGTTCAACTTGTTCTTTGCCGCCATGCTCATGGTCGCCGTGGCCGAATCCGACAAGGACCCCAAGGTGACGGCGGACATGGTCAAGATCGGGACACAAGTGGAGTACACGAGCAAGAAGGGCAGGTCGGTGGGGAAGAAGACGACGGTGGTGACGGACGCGGAGGCCTTGTGGGCCATGCTCTACGCTGACGACGCGGCCATCGTCTCGCGCTCGCCGGAGAGTCTCGATAATAAGATGATGTCGGTCATCGTGCGCGTGGCCAGCCTGTTCGGACTAATGGTATCAGAGCCAAAGAC